GTGCCTTGTTTAGCCACAGTTCTGAACAGGCCCTCTGGGTCGCCACCGTCTTTTTGGGGCAAGCTCTCTGCCTGGTGGAGACCATGACAAAAACAGCAGTCACAGACTGCCAGTAGATAGGTAGGACTCACAAGCAAGGAGGGACAGAGTTCCTGTGCCCTGACACACAACCTCCCACACCCACCGCTGCAGCACCTGGTCCTTAGTTCTTCCCTCCTCCTCAGAGGAACCCTGCCTGCTCGCTGGGCTCCTAAAGCCGCCTTGTGAAGCTTCTGCACCTGGCAAAACTTCAGCGTCCCACTACACAAGCCACCTCCTCTCCTGCTGCAACCTGTTGCAGGTGGTGCCCCCGCGCTGTGTGCTCGCTGTGAGCTAGCTCTCTGCCCTCCCGATGGGAATTTAAGGACTGGGGGGGAGGTGGTCGCGGTTGCCCCGGCAACTCCCGTGCCATGTCAGCCTCTCGCAGGAGAGCTGGTGGCAGGATTTGGTTACGCCGCTGTCTCGGGGGGTTTCTTTCCGAGGGAGCTTCTTTTACCTCCCTGTACCTCTCGATCAGTCAGTCTGTCGGAGCTGGATCAGCTCCAAAGCAGCTGATATCGGTGACTGAGTATTCCCAAGTGGATGAGTATATTAATTGGTCGAAAGGGTGTGTGTTCAAAGGAGCATTCAGGAATGAAGTCTTGTGGTGGGAGGAGGCAGCTCTACGAAACTCTCAGCTCATTTCTTGTGGCAGCCACCCAAGCAGCGTGAGCACTGTGAATTCTTGGCAAAGGAGCAGAAAACTAAACAGCAACCAGTTTCCTGCCACAGCATAAAGGTTAATGTGTAGCAATAATGGGGTTTCAATTTCCTTCTTCTTTTGGGTTGTTTGGGGGTTTTTTTATGACTCATTTCCAATTAGATGGGTCCTTCACAGCACAGCTGCATGACCCTTGTATCAGCCACTGTACTAGATGGATATATGTTGTCATGTCCTTGTTACTCTGCTTGTTTTCTCCATGTGTTCCGACTCCATCTTTCACCATTTATTTTCAAAAAAAAAGGAAGTGCCAGACCATAGAGTTATAGGTGCTCTCAGAGGCACTAACCTCTTGAAAGTCTTGTCCAGCTGAGCAGTGACTTCTGTGGTGTCTTGAAAGCAGGAACTGGTGAGTAATATTTGCAGTTTCTGTGCAATGGCACTTGCAATTTCAGAGAGCCAGATTTCCTGTGTTTGTTTTGTGAAATAAATGGACTGGCTAATGCAGTGTCTAAAATGTCCTCTTATCTGCTCAAAAGCAGAAATGTATTTCTTATTAGAAATACAATTGTAGTAGAAGTTCCTCCTCTTACTAAAAATACGCATACAATGTTGAAGCTTACTTGCTATTAGATAAGAGCTGTGCTTTCCTGCCTTCTCTACAGCAAAGGCTCTATCCCCTCAAGCCTGTACTTGCTTTCTCTTCTGCAGCTTGCCAAGCTAAAAATTATTTACAGGATTCAACTGGCTGTGGTGTGAGGGAGGGGAAAATAGGTATGTAAAAAGCAGAGTGGGTTTTTTTTTCTGCCTGTAACACCCACATCACATGGTGGCATTTCTCTGCAGAAGAAAATGTTCTGGGAATCTAGAGCTGATGATTTGTGTAGCAGCTGCCTCTCCTCTGTCCCCTGAGCCCCAGTGTCTAGTGGAGAGCAGTGGCTCCATGCTGTTGCATTTGGAAACCTCCCAGTGCGGCTGACAAGTCATTTTCTGGCTACATGGAGAGTTTAGTATGTGGCCCTCTTGCAGTAACCAGGGGTGAATGACAAATGGGATCGTGCCAGTTGGGTTCTCTGTCCTGGTCCATGTCTGTTTGGTTACATCTGTTTGATTAAAGCATTTGCTGTTTCTTAAAGCTCTTTGTTCAGGAGCATTGGGATTTGGAGAGGGAGCAGAGGGAGGCAGGAGAAATCATAGAATCATTTAGGTTGGAAAAGATCTTTAAGATCGAGTCCAACCATAAACCTGTCACTGCCAAATCCATCACTAAACCATGTCCCTAAGTACCACAATCTACACATCTTCTAAATGCCTCCAGGGATGGTGACTCAACCACTTCCCTGGGCAGCCTGTTCCAATGCTTTACATCTCTTTCAGTGAATAAATTTTTCCTAATATCCAATCTAAACCTCCTCTGGTGCAACTTGAGGCCATTTCCTCTCATCCTAAATGCCACAGTCGTCCTTGCCACTTTTTCCCGTGCTTTTGCGCATTGACCTTTGGAGTCCCAGTGGTGGGCCCAGGAGGAGCTGGTTCTGCTGTCCTTCACTTTAAGGGGAGTCAAGGGTAGAAATGCTGATCCTAATGCTGAGAATGTAGCTAAAATGACTTCTCTTTTTGTTGCTGCCTTGTTAATAAACTCTTCTTCTCCATCCCTCCCTTTTGCAGGAGGAAGAGAGGAAATAAGGGTGAGGTGGAGCGGGGATTGCACATCCATCACCAAGTAATTCCACTGAGAGATGAGCAGGTCACAGCCAGCATGGTCTTTGCATTCTGGGTTGGTGACAATTGGGTTAGCCAGCACCATCTACCAGAGGAGGCAGAAGTGAGGACTTGGCAGGGGAGCAGCCTTGAAACTCTCTCTACACAGCCAATTCTTGTCCTTATCGTTTGCATCTGCCTCCAAAGCTGTCTTGTATCAATTCCCCTTCCACTATCCGTCTATTCTGCTATGCTACAATTCCATGAAAAATAAGCCAGGGTCTCCAGAGGGGCAGGTGGTTGATTCTGAAAGGCAGCAACTGCTGGTTCCACAGCTTGGGAGACTGAGGCCTCTTGACAGGAACCTATGACAGCACTAGGGTTTTAGTATTGTGTTACGTTTAGGGGAAAAAAACTCTCATCAGAGCAGCAGTTCCACACAATGTCTGCTGACAGAACTCCAGCGATATTGATAAGGAGCATTCCTATTTCCTTGTCCTAGGGTTTTTTTTTTGCGTTATGTCTCATGTCCAGAATGACCTGAAATTCTAGAAGATTAGAGACAAAGTCTCTAATGCTGTTCCCAGAGTTTGTTGTGCACCACCATGATGGTATGCCATTTGTGTGTCAAATGCTGTATATCCTTCCAAGTGGCAATTACTCTTCCTGTGTATCAGGGCTGAAAAGTCTCTCATGTAGTTTCAATAGCTGTAAGAACCCTTGGCTTGCTCTCCCTAGTGTTTCTAAGTATGTAAATAAATGCCAGCCAGTGCTATAGCACATGGTTTACTGGAGCTTAGTACCAAATTCCCAGGGTGGCAAAGATTCTTACGGCTGGTAAAGTGTGTGGAAATTATATTAAAATTGCTTTAAGAAATGAAAAATATTTTAAATCCCTGCTCAGCTCAGTGTAAAGTTTTTCTTGTTTTCCAAAGGTAATTTATTTCAAATGATCTTTTCTACTGTTGTACATTCCACAGCAACAGGCTGACTTTTCTGGTCCTCTACAGGAAAATAAGTAGACAAAAGCAGTTCTTTTACCAGTATGAGTAGAGATCGTTGCTTTGTTGAAGAAATTCTTGTGGAATGTGCATATCTAACCAGTCCTTGTCACACTTGGAGGGTCTCAGCATCTGCCTATTTCTGTGTTGATATGAGAAGGAGGAGCATTACCTTCCTTTCACTGGAGTATTGAACACATTTTGGAAGAACAGGCGCAGACATGTCTACATCAGCAGAAGGACCAGTGACCAGGTCCAGGACTAGGAGCAGTGTCCCCAGTGACATCTTATTATTGTCACAAGGGATCTAGCCAATGGATTATGCAGAGTCATTCATCTAACCCTAATGCAGCTTACACACGCAGATAAGTGACTGCAGGCATCTCTGCCTGTAATAGGAACACAGGTGCCAATACCACAGACTTTTAAAGTTAGGTGAGATAAAGCTGACTGTTGCTTCTAGTAAACCTAGGCAAAGTTGATCCAGTGATAGACCTGCTGTTGATCTGATGACCATTCTCACATGTGAATGTGTTTCCTGTGTGTCTGGGGCACTGTAATTGTAAAAATGCATTTGAAATTAACCTCTTATGAAATGAGAGGAGAAAAAAAACATACTGTGGTTCTGCTTGTGCCAAATCAAAGTTCCTGTCTGGAAGGCAAAGTGTTAAGGAATGTGTGGTTATTGTTCTTTCGGATATGCAGTAGCTAACAAATAAGAGAAATATGTGTATCAATTTTAATATGGCCTTTTCCTAAATTCCACTATCTGCTGAAAAGTACAGCGTTATCATGCACAAAGGAAGGCTGACATAAGTTTGATCTGGCCTTTAATATGAGCAGGAGTATGTTTCAAGATTTGTAAGACACCGAGTCACAGCACACTATTGATGAAAAACTCCATTGCAGACCAAAAGAGAGTGAGTAATCAATTTTTACTCAAAATGAGTTGTATAAAACAACACATCAACTTCTTGTGCTGTCGGGTCCTGTGCCCTACCCACTCCACACCCCCCCCCCCAAAAAAAAGAAAAAAAGAAATGTTGCTTGATCACTCTAGCTGCTAGTCTTCACTACTGGTGCTGAGGAGTACCGGATATGCTGTTCCAATGTGGTGCCCATGGCGGCAAACAACTATCTGTAGCTCATATTCCTCTATCTTTACTCTTTCATGTGTGACTTTTTCTTCATCCAGCAGGAAAACGACAGTATAAAGGGCAAATTCAAACTCTGGGCTGACACCAATAAAGGTGCTTCCAATTGGCTTGACTGAGCCCTTCCAGCTGAACTGGATGCTCAAAACTTGGTCATCTTTGTCAGGCTGAAACATAAACAAAACAACAGAATAATCTCCAACAGAGTTGTGACTAAACAGATACAATTTCCAACTCCAGATTTTTGAGAGCATTGCAAGATTCAGTCATCCTTGCTGTGCCAGCATGCTAGAGCTGGAGCACAGCCTTTTCCCTGTCTTCTGGAGCATGCATGATCATTCATCTCAATTAAGCTTCAGCAATGTTGCAATTCTGTAAACACCAGCACTACTTTTAAAATTAGTTTTTGCAAAAAAAAAAAAAAAAGCTAGTCTTGAGGCCATGCTACTATTTCTTCTGCTTATATACACCTGAGTGAATCAGGTTCAAAACAGTTGAGCCTATGATTGTATCATTGTGCCTTGATTCATTACCACAGCTTTTATCTCTGGATCCATTTGTCTTATTTGCACCCTGCTTGTTCTTACCCTGGTTGTGTTCTTGCGAGCGACATATCCCTTGTAGTCAATTTGGTTGCGTTTTTCCTGAAGGTAAAATTGCACCCAGTTATGCAAACCTAAGATCTGTTTACCACGCCTTGTTTCTCCAACAAAAACATGTTCAAAGCCACAAGAATCAGGTCTGTAATAAATCAAAGAGTAATATACAGGTCTTTAATGTGTTTAAATAGTTCAAATTGGCAGAGGTAAAAGGCAAGAAGATGCACAAGCTTGCTTAGGTTGATTTGTGAGCAGTTTCTATTTCTCTGGATTTGTTGGGTTTTCTTTCTTACTTTGCACAAAACTTGCAATGAAATCTAATCACAAAGTCTAAATATGTATTTGGTGATGAAGGTTGCTAGTAAATGCCATGGGTGCATCACTGCTGCTTATCCAGATTTTAGCAAGGCTTCTGACACTGTCTTCCATAACAGACTCATAGACACACTGATGAAGTACAGATTAGAAAAGTGGATTATATTGTTGGGCTGAAAAGCAGATGAATGTCTGCAGTTGAAGGCCTGTGATTAGGGACACAAAGGGCAGCTGGAAGAAATTCACCAGTGGTGTACCTCAAGGGTCAATACTGTTAGCATCTCGTCAGTAAGCCTTTAAACACGATCTGTGTGGGAGCAATGAACACCTGATTTAGGCCATATTCTGAGGCTGTCTTCCAGTTCTGTGTGTTACAGATGGCACTTGGGCTTATATTTACCTAAGTCAGAATAGCGTAGAGATTATCAGGGGACATATCCATCAGACATACCTGTCTCCTTCTTTCCTGGCATAGAGCTGGAACCAGATGTCATAGAGCTGACGTTTAAAATCGTCAAGGTTTGGCTTTGCTAGGTTTTTTTTAAGCAGATATTCATGAGCTAGCTGAAGGATAGAAAACCAAGATATAGACACAGTTTACAGTTTATTCAGTGCTTTCAGCAACTAAAAAAGATCTGTGTTACTCACTTTCATGACTTCTGTTGCTAAGATAGCATCAAGAAAACAATTGTTTTCAGCGATTTCTTCTGGAGTCACTACTTCTGCTACACCAGTTGATGTCTCATAGTTGTCCAATAAGGAAATGAAGGCTGCAGAAAAAGAGAAACTTTCAGCATACTCATCCTGATGAACAGGCCATATGCCTAATCATACCTGTGATCCAGTCATTAGAGACTGGCATCATAAAAAGATGCTGTATAATATGCCTTGGCAGCCCTGAGAGAAAGACAATCCTTTATATGTCAAATTTCATTCTCATGTATACTCTTGGGTGTAGGTCTAAAACCGAGTCAGGGCCAGACCACCACTGTACTCCTTTTTAAGATAAACAGCTCTCTACTGAGATTCCTTATGGAACCAAGCGCTGAAACAATAATGAGCTTCTACCAAAACAAATCATATCTGACCACCAAAATTACAGACAGGCTTATGAACTCGAGCTATGCTGGCAGAAGGTTTTGTGGGCATTACTTCAGTAGAGTTGTAATACAGCATAAACCTACATGAGATGGCTTGAGCTTGAGCACATGGCCACTGAGTGGACGGGTTCATTTTCTTCTTTGCACCCCTTTTCCCACCTGCTCCCTCCTGTCACTTCATCTACTCATGCTCTGACACTCAGTGGACTCTGGGGGCTGATTTAGCACACCAAGCTGACAGAAAATTACTTCAGGTCAAAAACCTAAGTCATTTCCTGGCAGATTAGTGAGCTGAAGGGGCTCAGAGTAGAGTTCAGTGAGTACCAGAGCTGCCCTCACTAGACACAGGATTGTGTGGCTCAGAGAGGAGTGGGGAGAACAGAGAAGAACCATGGTCCCCATTATGCCAGCTGTTCGGTCAGCTTAATGTAACTCTCATCTAGGGAAAAAAAAAAATCAGGGAAGAAAACATACATTCATAGACATGCTTGGAATATAGCCCCCAACAGAAATGCAAGAAGTAGCTGTGGACCTAGTACTATCTGAAAGGGCTAGAAGCTGTGAGCATAGGAGGAAAGCTGACTTTGGTGTCTTTTTCAATACATGGAATAACATCAAAGCAATGACAAGAGTCTCATCCATTTCACTTTGTAGTGGAAGAACCACAGAGAAATTCAGATTTGGCTAAGGCACAAAAGGATGTTCTTCCTGAGGCTGAGGCTACAGGTAACCTCCTTGCAAATGTTGTGGAAACTACCTTCAAATAACATGCAGCCTGATGATCCTCACCACCATCCAAATTATATATGATGTTGTATTTTAGCCAAACACATAAAAACCAACACAGATTCTTCATGTAATTTCTGCTATTAACAAAAGAATGGGTCTCACTTGCAAAAGTTTTTATGCTCTTCAGACGTTCTTCATTTACGTTGTGAAACAGATGTCTGGGTGCGCTGTCCTGGACAGCCCTGTCACCTTGCTGTGCAGCACCTGCTTTTCCCTAGGATAAACACCAGGTAAAACAATGAAAGAAGTGAGATGTCCTTACAGGAGACAGTGCCTGCCTTTATAATAATCAAAACAAAACCCATAGTGCTATCAGGATTCTTAGGAACAGTCTTCCTATGAAACAAGAGAAGAAGAACTGCCAGCATAAAGAAAAAAGACAATCTCTGACACTACAAGACCCCAAAATTTTTCTGTTGACTCATTTTCAGAGATGATTGTGATGACCCATGCGATAGTTCAGTTCTGATCAGTGACCAGCTGTGCTACTATGCTATATACATCACAAATGATAAAGAGAAGTAATGTAGAGCCAAGGCTCCCTCCTACTGCCTTCCTTCTCTGTTCACTTGCAACCCACAGACCCCGCTCATATAGCTTATGAGGCCATGCAGTGCAGCAGAGGGGTTGTTTCTCTCCCGAGTCCCTATTCCCCAAGCTAGCCAGTCTAATTCTCCTCTCCTTCATGATAATGCTTAAGCAATACAATTCCCGAGTAGGCTCCCTCAGACTCAGCCTTCATGTTCTCTTTCTAACTTCATGACTGCAGCTCCAGCCATCACCCCTGTACCAGGGAGATGTTGAGATAGTTCTGTGCAGCTCCACCAGCTTTGGACTGGTGCATCCTGGTGCTCTGAAGTTTTCAAAGACTTCTGTTTGGCCACGTTTAAGAGCATTTTAATCAATGTGATCAATAACCACAACCAAAATGGAAAGGACGCTTTCCTGACAATTTTCAAATTTCTATTTAAAAAAATGGCATTCTCAGTAAAAGAGGAGAAAAGATGAGTAGCAGTTTGTTAACATGGGCGAAGGATAATTTGAGCCTTGTTCTGAGAAATGAAGAAACCATATGGGAGAAGTTTCGCCCCCACACGTTTTGGCCTGAAGTAAGTGCCCCTTTTTCAGGTGTATCAGCAACAGAAAATTATTATACGAAGCAACGTTGAAATAAAGTGTTTGAGCACTTGTGTGAGTACAAAATTGGACCCTGAATATTCAATGGCCTGCTGCGATTTGTGGCCAAAACACATGGTCATGTTTGCACTTGAAATACTAGGGCCTGAGCAGTGAGGCCCTGAACCAAAGTTGACCTCTAGATGAACCTCACGACCTCACAAAATATCTAATATGTATAATGTTGATTGCATATGCGATGTACTATCTTATGAATATATACCAATTTAGAAAAGCTTTGTTGTAACGCTTATAGAGCATTGCTGTCACACTTGCTGCGTAAGTCAGTGGGAAAATGCTAATTGTGTAACAGTAGCCTCATTTGTCAAAAACAGACAAGTTGCCTGTTGCAACCGAAAGACAGATACGCCTACTGCAACCACAGAGGTAAGTGGATGTGCGGTAAAAGGATGTGGAGGCCCACGACAGGCTTTGTTGCAAGACACATAATCAGGATTACCAGATACATTTACCCTTTTTTACTTCCCTCTCAAGGTCCTGGCCAGACTCGAGATGAATGTTGACAAGGGGAAAACCACACCATATGTTTTTTGCAGTTTGAGATGTAAAGTTGTTTATTCAACTGTATAAAAATGGGGAACATTTGCAGAGAAATTTGGAAGCCTCATCTATACAGTGGACGCACTGTATAGAGATTTCCCAATTGCCAGGAAGGGTTCTCCAAATCCTCGCTACAACCGGGCTCCCCAGCGACTGCGGATCTGGATGACGGTAATGTATTATTAGGGCAATTGGTGATTTATCTTTTCTTAATCACTATCGCTAACTCTATCTAGTAATGATTAGGTGCATTACCTTATTTTATGCTTGCTGTAGTAGTTTGCTTATTATTTTGCTGCTTTACCTTGTCTTGCTTTAATTTATTTTCACTGTATTATTTTCCTCATTATTTTATCACTTTAAATATAAGTAAAAATAAGCTAACTTCTTTAATTTGGTGCCTGTGTCCTCTGTGCTAACCCCGTCGATTGGCAAAACAGCATTACACTGAGCTGTCAAGGAGTGAAATGTCTGCTCATCAAATCTGATACCCACTCCTCCCTCACAGTTCCTTGGGACTGGTAGCAACAGCCCTGAAACCCTCCTCACCCACACCTCTGTGCTACTCCACACTCTCCAGGAGAGACCCAGGAATTCCTCAGATTACTCCCTCATTCCCCCAAGAATGACTTGGGACCTATCTTCCCTTCTCCCTCACTGCAGTTACCCAGACCATACACAGAAGCAGTCATACACACGCAGAAACATCCACGGTGGAGGGGACCTCAGGACATCTCTAGTCCTGGTCAAATTATGGTCAACACAGAATTTTACTCAGGTCATCATGTTATTGGGTCTTGAAAACTTCCAGAGGTGGAGATTTCACAGCTTCTCTGGGCATACTGTTCTGGTTGCGTTTGTCCTTGTTCAATTTCATTATGTTCTTTCCTTAGCCTCTTCCTCCAGCCTGCCTAGGTCCAGCTGAAGAGAAGCCCAGTGCTTAAACATACCAACTTCATCACCACAGTTCACTGTCATCTGCAAAATTAGAAAGGTTGCACTCCCATCTCCTCCTCTGCACAACTGACAAAGATATGAAATATTATAGGACCCATGACAGATGCCTGAGAGACTCCACTTGTAACCAACGTCCAGGTAGTGTGGACCATTAATGTGTTCTGTGTAATGTGTTCTCTCTCCTAAGTGATTCTTCATCATTAGGAAGTCCTGCCTATGCCATTAGTGGAAATGACAAAGCCTAGGCAACTTTTTTAGCAAAAGGCAGGTTTGCAGACACCTTTTCGTACAGTACCATGCTGCACTTGATCCTCATGTGACTTAGCAATTGGTTACCTGCAAATCAATTGTGTAGTCTTTCCCAGGCATAAGGCGGTTAACATCCATATCCCACATCTCATTGAAAAGTTTAGAAAGTTCATGATTAAAGGCCTTCCTGTCAAGAAATCCAGAGAAATACACATGTTAAAAAAGACATGCTGTTATTTCTGCAAGTTACTTCTACAATGACCAGTGACAGCTGGTCCTTTTCTCATTTTAGTGGAATTTTGTCCTGCATAATAGTGCAGTTTTTAGAAGTCTATCCATCTATCTATCAACAAAATTTAGGAAGGGTTGTTATTGTGATGAACCACCCGAGGGTAGCTCCAGTTTCAAGGACATTGTGTCCACACTAACACATAAGATTGAGACAAAGAAGAGTGGAGAAGAAAGAGAAGTGGATTAATCTTGAAATGACTGACAGTTTAATTAATCAGTTACAAGCCAGAACATGTATTGAAGCCCAGAGAAGAAAGGCTTGATAATTTTGAATTTCTCCTCCAAAGCAGATGTTCTCAAGAAAAGAAAAAAAGTGCAGAAATTTATCAACAATGGGCATTTCTTTCAAACAGCCATCTGGGCAACTTGCCATGGTTTTAACAACTGGTTCTCCCAGACTGAACCAAGGCACCTTCAAGCCCAGTTCTGAACCTCCTGATTACTGTTATGTCTTCTCCTTCTCTTCTAGCCAGGATGGAGAGACTGTCTGAGCCCTCCTGCCAGTGGCAAATTCCATGCTCTCTAGCAGAAAGAGGAAACAAATACTGTGGGAAGGTCACAAAACAATCTTCTGAAGTGGCAGCCTTGATGTGAGACAGCTTGAGAGCCAGGAAGAGCAAAAAGTGAGCCAGGTGGGCACCTGCCCCATTGCAGAGATGGCATAGAAGTCATAGCAGAAAAGAGGGCATTAATCAAATGGTGGGAGAATAGTCAAGAAGCAATACAGCAAGATTTGATGTACCTTCTCCTGTCCTGGACTGCACTTTGTGGCTGGATCAGAAACTGCTGGTCTGAGCTCCACATTGAAAGAAAGGGAAAGCAGCAAACTATGCCTGGAGAACTGAGACTTTATTTCCCCCCTACGTTATTGAGCAATCCTTTTTCTCCAGAATTGTCTGTGTAACTGTGGAATGAAACTCATGCAGCCTGAAACGCATAAGCAGTTCTTGAGAGTTTGTTGTCCAAAGGAATTCGTATCCCTGAGTTAAGAGCCAAAAGCAGCCAGTTTACATTAAAGCACCAGAGAATAAGCAGCAGTAGCTGAGGAGCATAAAGAACATATATGATATACATACTATACATAGTGTTATTTAGAGTGGGGAAAACAACCTCCTACAGAAAGGCAGGGCAGACAACCGTAACTACTTTGGCTGCCACGCCTCCGTCTGCCTGCAACTGGGAATCTGAGCCATCATGTACCTCAGCTGAGTGGGAGGCACTGACAGTGCGTTCTCGCTCGGGCTCTGTGATACCTTGAGATCATTGTTGTGGATGGGAAATCTACAAGATCATCTGAATTTTGAACTGGGCTGGAATAGGATGTCAATTACCTGAAGGACGGAAGGAAAAGGACTAAAAATTCTAGTGTAGGGGAGCCAAAGGATATGTTTGTTGCTAGGGTTAAACACGAATATGAAGGAAGATTTATTTGCTTGGAACAAGTACTTTGATGGATCTTACAGTGGAGCAGAGGAGCTATATTAAGCCCTTGCCCAAGCTCCAAGATCTACTTATTCAGCAGAAGTGTGGCTTGTGGGATCACAACACTGGCTGTGCAGCCCAAACGAGGCACCGGCTCAACTTCACAGGGAGTTAGCCTCACGGCATATCGCAGAAGCCACCAACAGCAGCATTTTTACTTATTTTCAGACATACCACCACACCACATTCTTTCCAGAGTCTTAAGAAGAGCAATTCCTTCTCCAAAGAGCTTACAAACCAACACTAAACAGAAAATTGTTCATCTCACCAGTTCATCTGAAGTCCCAAGAACAGGATTGACAAGTTCACAGAACAGTACTGGAGAAGTTTTTCAAACTGCAAGTCTACATTCATGTTACCTTGGACTGACCTAATTTTATTGGATGACTTTTCTCCTGGGTTCTGGACCCTCCTGCTCTCTACTCCTCTGCATCAGAATATCCCATCTGTTTGAGTACTGCCATATTATGTTTAATACAGTTTTTACTTTGGAAGTAACTAGGAGGCTGCTGTCTGTTGAACATCCAAGGTATGTGAAATATTATACACATTTTGGTATGTATGTATTTTGGTAAAAATCACCTATACAGGAAATCTGTCATCCCTTCAATACCTACTGCAGATGTGTCCTGTGTCTATAAAGCACTGTAAGGCTCTGTTTGATAATTTCTTCTCTATAAATGTTATGGAATATTGCATGAGCTCATGGAGGCAAGCTCAAGGTGTCTACTCAGGAGAGGGTTACAGCAAGAGCATACCTACAGTTTTCAGTCCTCATATTTATTTAATAAATATACTTCTACTAAATATATTCCTGCATTCAGAAAATGTGTCCCAATACTCTAAAGTCACTTAATTTTATAAAATGAAAGCCTTTTATCTCCTTTTTCTCTGATGGGTGCTGCCACAATATCATGGACTTTTCCTGTCCTTTTTGTTGTTCCTATAGTTTCCAAATAGAGCAAAGCACCTGTACACATTTTAACTGAAGATTAGAATAAAGAGAAATATATCCCTGCCAAAGTAAAGAACTTGTTTAGCAACTTACATAGTCATCTTGTAAAAACTCTTTCTGGACAGTAGTTCTTCATAAAAGGTCCATAAACTTAGCTTACACATAGGAGGTGAGACAACTTCAAAGAGAAGAAGCCCGACACCTTCATGCAAATCCATGACACACAGTATTTATGTAAGGTTTTATTGAAAAAGAGTATTTACTCTCTGGTTTTCAGTACGATTGCATGTATGACTCAGAACAGAGATGTTTATAATTAATTCTCATTCTCCTCCCTATGGTGAAATCTCTCAGTTGTTAGATTTGTGCTTTCTCATAGAATAAATAATTTCTCTGCAAGAAGTCTGGCCAATTGGATTTTGTCCAGTTGGAGCCTTGCTTGGATGTGGTTATGTGCGCAAAGCACCACCCCAATAAAGAGAACACTTAGTCTGCACTTGTAAGAGCTGAGAGAACTTTTTTGGGGGAAGCTCTTTGCAATAGTAACTCCAATGCACTGGCAGTGTTGCTAGAGCAAAAGGATCTAACATCTCAATTTTATTATAGCTTTCAAGTGAAACATTCACATCATATGCTTGGTTTTACAAGTTATTTTCTTGTCTAAAACCTTCATTCTATCCAAAACAATGGCCCAAGAAGTCGTCTTTTATTGCTATAAATCAGAAATGACTCAAGACGGGAAAAGAATTAAAAGGTCAGTGGCGAATCATGTGAGCAAGTCAACAGTGTCAAAGCAAGAAAAACATGCATTGCAAATAGGTCATGTGGAGCCCTGCAAAGAAGGTCTGATTGAACATCTTCTCTAAAGTAAACTTGTCTTCAGAGATCCTTTGAACAACATCCAATTTTAAAAAGCCTTTAATTTTGGCATAGAAAAAAACAGCATTTGGGAATCCTGATGAGCAGCCATTTACAAGAAATTCCCAATTATTTAAAAACTTGGTTCAAATGTTGTGAAATACATGCATTAGCTTATATGATTAATAGAAGATAGGAGGAATTTTCTCTATTTTCCTCTTATGGCAGTGTGTATGTGTTTTACTTGAGTTCAGTGATGTTTTTCTCAGTTTAAAGCTGGTATTTGAAATAACAAAGGATAAATTAGACAAGTTTTATAGGTGGAAAGGAAAATGTATTGTCAAGGGACAAACGTAAGAGTGGGCAGTTACTCGGCACACACTCTCTCAAGGTCCTGGGCAGGCAGATGATGTTTGGAGAACCGATTCTACGTTATCAGCTATGTTTAAGCAAAATCTGATCATAGCATCACCTTATTTTAGCCAAAACAGCTTATGATTCTGTTGTCTCACCAACTTTTTACGCTGAGGAAAGTGAGTTAGTAAAACAGAATAGAAACAGGAAGCAGGATTATTGCAGTGCTGCATTTCACATAACTCCCTTTCACACGTCTCCCAAATGAATATATCCCATCGCCACTGCCCTTTGCATTAGAGAAGAATTAGTATGATTTTCTCTTACCGATTAGCCATGACAGGAAGAAGGCTTTCTCTTAGTAAATAAACTGAGCAGGATTAAGGCAACCTGAAGCTCAGAAATCCTCCTGGTAGTCCAAGGCATGGAGTTGTCCTCCTTTTATACTCCACTTGCCAGCTGGGGACTGTCACTCAGGATGACAGGCAGGGCAGGAAGGCATGGGAGGTGCCAAACCCCACAAGAACACGTGGAGTGTAAGGACAGCACCACGTCTCACGACTCTCTCAGCGCAGGCACACTCAGACCAGGAAGTCAGAGCCACCTCTACCAGGCTCCTTCTTCGCCTTATCTCCACAGATGATCAGTATGTCAGGGAACACAGAAGGCGATGGCACAGACATGCACGGCAGCTGCCGCCTTCTCCCACCTGGGTCTTCAGATGCAATCCTGAGATCCTTGTATGAACTTCAGACATGACTCACAGTGTTGCATCTAGAATTATGTTGGATTATTTGTTAAGAGATTTGATATCTCTACATTAATTTTGGGCCCAGAAATAAGCACTTCAAGCCCAAAAGCCTTGAATGAGATGGACGGGTCATTCTAATCTTGCTGTTCTATCTATGGTTATTATTTGGCAATAGAAGGGAAGATAATAATAAATCAAAGATCAAAAAATTATAGGTGGGGAAGGAAGAAAAAACAGTGTATGCTTCTCTATTGACAGCTGAAATTGCTAGTTGTGACCTTGTAAATACTAGGAGGCATTATAATCAGAAAATGTTTTACAAAGGCAGCACTTTCCATGAACTACTGGAAGCAAGTGGTGGTAGGTGCTGGTAAGTGCAGTTACCCACTCCAGTGCCTGTCCTGGGAAGCATGCATTCATTATGTGGCTAAATTAACCTGCAGATAGTTGCTTACTTTTGTTTGATTGATACTTTTAAAATTTTCTTATTCGTAATAATTCCTGAAAAACATAGCTTTAGGTTTAAACTGTATATATGCATATACAGAAGCCAAAATGGTTTGATGTTAGGCTACCAATTATACAAATGGTTCTGTACCTCTGGTCCATGTACCCTTTCAAAGAATCATATTGGAGCCATACAAAGCTGCAGGTACTGAGAATGCCAGCCACATGGAATTGTATAGGGGACAGGACATGCAGCTAGCTCACTTAAAAGTGAAGCTTCCTTCTGACACTGGTAGGGGAAATTAATGTATCTCAAAACTGAATATCCTTAATTTTAACTGAATTTTTTCTTTAGTATTTTTTGTTACTATTTATTGCAGTTCTGCGTAAGCAAGAGAAATTACAAAGATACAGTGCCTATGTTTATCAACTGAATGCAGGAAGTCTTTTCTTAGGCTTTCATTTAAAATACAAAAGCCAGTGGCCATATTCCGTCCATAACAGAGTTGCAACTCCTTTATTCACATTAGCAGAAAGAGCCCAGATGGGAGCCCAGGGAATTTCCATTTACAAACAGCATCATCACTGGAGTCAGCAGATTCAAGTTAATCTTTGAAAAAAATTACAGGTCATATCAGTAGCATCACCAAACGTATTCATAACCAAACGTGTATTTAAATCTTTTGTGAAACTTCTGTCCTGTCATTTATCTGTTGAGCTAAGAAAAACTTAAGGATCTCAAAGAGTGTAAAAGGGTGCATTTGCCAACAGAAACAAAGCCCTGATCACAGGCAGATGGGATCAGTGCAGAATCTGGGTTGTTCCCAGGTAGTAAGAAAACCCAAGTGTCCAGAGCGCAGCCTTGCTGACGCCGTGGGTTCGCTTTCTCTGCTGAAGAGATCAGGCAGTGCTTTGTCAAAGCCATTGCATAGGACAGCGCATGGTTGCTGCGTAGGAGCTGAGGTCAGGCTCCCCCTGCTCTCTGTACCTCTTTGCTGGCACGAGGGAACAGGGACAGTATTTGGTGCTCACTCTCATGTGAACAGCATTTCCCAAGGAATGGGGCAACAGCCTTGCAGAAGACATTCTGCCTAACAAAACTGCCACCTCCAGCATCAGGTGCTGACCGTTGCCAAGGTCAAGGATGAAGGAAACCCTGTGAATAAGACACATTTCTAAATCATGTAGGCATCTCTCTGCATTTCTGGCCTAAGTAATATGCTTTTCTAACCAAGGTGGCCAGTGGATAAGTGCTGGTTTGTCACCTCTAGTCAGGTGCCTAAACTTCCCTGAGGAGGGAAAGGGCTCATTCAGGGTTGATTTAAATCTCTTTGCTGGTCATCGAGAACACTGTGCTTTACAGGCTTCCAGAGCAAAGCAGCCAGGGCTGACACATGCACGAAGGACACGTTTGCGCTGGACGGGCTCACTCGGGGAGACTGAATAAAAGCTGGCAGCTGGAACAAACACAGTGTGGATCTACAGCAGGCTCAGTACTTTCCCCAGAGAAGCCAGAGCAGGCCTTTGGGCCACCTTTTGTGCATGGGTATAGGGAAGAGGAAAGTTTCTGAGAAACTGAGTTTGCTGGACATTCCCCTGGGCACTTTGACTGTTGCTGCCAAGTCTCCATGAGCTGACCAACACTGAAAAGCAGTGGAGATACGGCCTGGGCTGGTTAGTGGGAATTTAGCCAGGTCAGAGCTCACTGAGAGCAGGGAGCGAGGACTTTAGGGTTTCCACCTTTCCCTAAGCAGTAATTCT